TGCACAGTCTACAATGTGTGGGTGTACACGGTATCACAGTGTGCAATGCGTTGCTCTATCCTGCATGACAGTGTACAGTGCATCACAGTCTACAATGTGTGGGTGTACACGGTATCACAGTGTGCAATGCGTTGCTCTATCCTGCATGACAGTGTACAGTGCATACAGTCTACAATGTGTGGGTGTACACGGTATCACAGTGTGCAATGCGTTGCTCTATCCTGCATGACAGTGTACAGTGCATTACAGTCTACAATGTGTGGGTGTACACGGTATTACACTGTACAGTGTATTACAGTGTGCAATGCGTTGTACACTGCAGTGTGCACTAAAGCATTCTACACTCATGCACTGTACACACTAACGCATTTGACATTTCTAGTGTGCAATGCGATAGTGTGCAATGCCTTCGACAATACAATGCATTTGCAGTATTGGTGTATGTTTATTAAGCACAGATAATTAATCTGATTTTAGTTATCAAGGAGAAGTCTTCTCTGTCCCCCTGTTTATGAGGTGGAGGACAATTGTTTTCCGAAGAAGAGAGGAGACTTTTTTTTCAAGGAGATCTGTATAGATTTCCAGAGATATGTGTAGATGGTTGAGGGGCTGCATGTGATCTCTGGAGATAATTGTGATTAACGATCACCTGAGTTAAACCAGTGAATGAAAAGTGTAAAAAAACATGGATTGAAAATAATCTGCACTGACCACTGTGCTTTGTCAAGCCACATATTGGCACATTCTGGTTTCACACAGATGCGATGTGAAATTTGCAGTGTTTTCTGTGCAAGCGCTGCACCGCATCACAACCGCAACCCTTCATGCCACCTGCTGCGGCTTTCTAGGTGAAGTTAACAACACACCAAAATTGGTACACAAAGCGTATTGCGATTTGCCAAATTGGATCGCATGCCTATTCACACCCATGTGCATACCCTGAAAAAGGGTCCTGCACATTTCTGGCCCGGATGCGGTGCAATTTGAGGTGTGCAAAATGTTTGTCTCTAATTGCAACGCACACAAATTGCATGTGATTTGCCCAGGAGTGCGGTGTTAGACCACAATGTATGTATGTGAAGCCAGAATAAAAGTATGTGTATTTTGTCTACTTTTACTTGCGCATGTTAACATTATGTAAGTGCGTTATTCTTCTGTTTAACATGCTATAGAAATGGAACATGCATTTGGATGTAGTGTTTTTGTATGTGCATTTTGGAAGTATTCTAAACACACATTGACCCTAGGGCCACATCATATCTTAAGCCGCGTTTGTCAGAAATGCTGTATAGTACATTTAAAGCGGATTTACACTCCACCTATCAAAAAATAACAGTCATCAGCTACAAAAACGGTAGCTGAATCTCTGGTAAGTCAAGTTATTAAAAAGTTTACTTTCAGTTTTGTATTGTGAAAAATGTTTTGCTACATTCATTCTGAATTTGTTTGGCAATAATGTTGTCTTTGTTGACTTGTTCTAGCCACAGCTGATGGGCGCCAGGCGGTGGTCTGCTTGGCAAAAAAAACCTCACAGGAGGACAGCCACCGTCCACTTTTTCCAACCACAGGCGGGGCATCCCCTGCGGAGACTCCGTGTTTGTGGAAGGTAAGCACAAGCTCTAGAAGCTTGGACCTCATGACTTTGCCATTGTTGGCATCTCCACACTGATCTCCACTGACTGTCAATTGTACATTAATGCCACACACATTGCTTGTAAATGACATGATAACTGTGACGGAAGCGTAGGCAGGACAGAACACACGGAGGATGCTAAACACACCAAGCGTTATTGTTATATGGAAAGCACTCAATCAGGGTAGGAATTTAGCATCCGGGTACCCAAAATGGGGGGAGGAGAGGGGAGTAGCTCCAAACAATTGTAATTCAGCCCATGATAGGGCAATTTGTGTAGCGATGGCCCAAGCATGTATTAATCCAAGCAGGCAGCTCCTGCAAAAGTAATAGGGAGGTTCAATGGGGCAATCCAGGCAAAAAATGTATGATGAGTTCCACGGGACAGTACAGGCAGGGAAAATCGGGGGATCCAGGGGGGTAGTTCAGACAGGAGGATTGGGGCATTCACGGTTTAGGCAGGAGTATCCTCGGGCACACAGCAGGTAGCAGGCAGGAGTACCCTTGCACACAGCGGAGCGGATAGCAAGCACCTCTAGCCCCCCAGGTATCAGCAGAGTACTCAGCGGGTTCTTGGAGCTGGGGAGGTCTGGCCTCAGCTCAGACTTCCCAACAGCTGCTCATGGCGACATACCGGGGACCAACAGTGGACTGGGTCCTGCTCCGGTCTTCTTAAGCCAGAGCAGGACGCTTCCCGGTTGTCCTGGCAATGGCCGGCCCAGCGTCAGGTCGCCCGGGGCAACAAGGCACGCCCCGCTCACTGGGGCCGCGCTCAGGGAGCATGGCCTTTGTCTCTGGCGGCCGCAGAGTGCGGGAAGCCTCGTGGCTGCGCTGTGCCCACCCGGGGGGCACGCAGGGACACCCCGGCGGCCTGTGCCATTCGGGCCCAGCGGGGTAGCCGACTCCTTGGCAACTTTGCTGAGGAGAGGTGCTACCCGCACCACAGTGGGTGTTTCCTCCCCTCCTGAACAGCTTTTGATGTAGGCTTGTGCAGGACCCTAGGAATCTGCAAGGGGAAGAGAGGGGGGAGATGAAAGGAGAGCAAGGGGGGGGAGGAAGGGACAGCAGGCTGGAGGGGGACTGTGACAAGAACCTTTTGTTAATCACTAATAGAGCTGTGTTTGGTGGTGTCATTTGATCCCCAATGGCTGTTTGTTTGTGATGCGGATTTTTTGCCTAAAAATATTATGGCTTAGATGTTCACAAACATATCCCATCAAAATCGCAGTCATAACATTTTGTTTATACATTTGACAGAATTGGACTTCTTTTGACCCATTAAATTACAATATTTGTATGTTATGTATGCTGTTTGAAAGTTGCAGAGTATACAAATTATGGAATATTTTGGACTAAAATGCAACTCCATGATGTACAGCCAATCTCATTTGGTGAGGCCCCATAAAATGACAGAACATGAGAAATATTCTACAATGCATAGTACGTTATTATTAACACATTAACACATAAATACAGTATTATAGAGAGGGGACATCTGGGGGGATTTCTGGTTAGTTTTGGGGATGGGGGAATTTCAGAATCTTGGCTTGTCCTTACATTGGGAATCATTCTAACGGAAATGTTTAACATTGTCTTGACTTGCTTACATTACTGCCATGTGGCCTTTTTGGTGATCTGGTATATATGGTCTACAGCCAATCATATTGACCAGGGTGCTGTGATTGGTCCAAATACCATGTGATAAGTGTGGTCCAATCCTATTAGGACATCCAAGAGTTCCTAATATCTAAATTGACATTGTGATCATGTCATTGCATAGCAAATGCATGATCAACAAGATTAACAAATCATCCTCCTACCATGACTTGCTATCTGCTGTAGTGCGGTGGACAAAGTTGTGGAAAATGATGCAGTCTGCCCCAGTGGATGTACATCCAAAGTCAAAACACAACAAATTAGGGACACGAACGCAATTGTGCCTGTATGTGTGGCCTGACACCAGGAAATGGACAGTTGTCATTCAGCCCTGTGGCCTTAGCTTTGGCACACAGGTTTGTGAGAAATGACTAAACTTCTGCATGTTTTTAGGTTAGTAATGTTCCAATTCTGTGTTATTCTTTTTGTAGAACAAGACAGTGAAGAGGAGGGCCAATGTAAGTGCCTTGAATGTGATTGGCTGTTCTCTGTGTGCATTATGTAACTTTGATGTGTGCAATGTGTTTGTTGTGTTCTATCTTGTTGTTTATGTAGCACCAGCTATGTTGGAAGAGGGGGATGAGGAGGAGGGCACATCCTCTCAGGCTCACTGTAAGTGCATTGAATGTGCTTGTCTGTTCTCTGTGTTCCTTGTTGTCCTTGGCTCTCTCAAAGGGGTTGTTGTTGTTGTTCTTCTTCTTCTTTCTTGTTTGTGTAGTACCAGCAAGGTTGCCTACAGTGGAGGAGGGAGGAGGCGGCGGTGGCACCACCACCACCACCACCACCACCACCACCACCACCACCATCACCACCACCACCCCTGTCTCCACGGTCGCCTGTGCTGCCGGAGACTCCCTCACCTCCAGCTCACTGTAAGTGTCTTGGATGTGCTTGCCTATTCTCTCTGTGCATTATGTAACTTTGATGTCTGCAATGTGTTCTGTTCTATCTTGTTGTTTATGTAGCACCACCAGCCATGTCAGAAGAGGGAGAGGAGGAGGATCCCTCTTCTGAGGCACACTGTGAGTTCATTGAATGTGCTTGTCTGTTCTCTGTGTTCCTTGTTGTCCTTGGCTCTCTCAAAGGGGTTATTGTTGTCCTTTCTTGTTTGTGTAGTTCAAGCAAGGTTTTCTCCGGAGGAGGAGGAGGCCCACCAGCCACCTCCAGAATTTGGTCCCGCAGCAGGAGGCCCCCTCACCTCCAGCTCACTGTAAGTGCCTTGGATGTGCTTGCCTGTTCTCTGTGTGCATTATGTCAATTTGATGTTTGCAATGTGTTGGTTTTGTTCTTTCTTGTTGTTTGTGTAGCTCCAGCCATATTGGAAGAGGGTGAGCTGGAGGAAGAGCAGAGGGAGGAGTGGTCACCCCCTCAGGTCCACTGTAAGTACCTTCAATGTGTTTGGTGATTTACCTTCTGTACAATCATGCTGACCATAGCTGTAGGCTAATTTGACTGCTTAATATTGGCCGGACTGTAGTTTCTTATCTAAGTCTGCCTTGTTTTTGTTTCCACTACTGCAACTTACCTAGGTGGTTGAAGCATTGGTCCAATACTTCATCTGTCCCCCCTAGGTTGTAAGGGTGGTAACTCTGCTGTGATGGAGCGTAGGCAGGACCAAACACACAGAGCAGATGATAAACACACAATGCTTTCTTGAATTAGGACAGTCACTCAATTTGGGTATGAAGGTAGCGTCCAAGTTCTCGGGGCAGGGGAAGAGCAGGGATGGCTCCCCAAAATATTGTAATTTGGCCCCAAGAAGGGCAAACTTAGAGTCTCTGTTAAATTGTAATCCAGGCAGGGAAGGGAAAGGAGGGAGAGTTCACAGCCCTTCCATACAGGGGGGAAAACAGGGGCAGAAACACTCACAGTTCCGGCAGGGGTTTTCCTGGCTCACAGCGGCCTACAACAGGGGGCGACACTTATCAGCACACAGGAGAGGGTCCACTTCTACAGCACACTGCAACACGTGCAATCCTGGCCTCACAGTATTAGGCAGTGTAGCAGCGGGTACTCCTCCTGAGCCCCGAGTATTAGCAGAGTGTTCAGCGGCTAATAATCCTGGTATCCCCAGAGTATTATGCAGAGTGGCTGCGGGGGTCTCGCCTCAGCGCAGACCTCCCAGCAGCTTCGCAGCAGACAAAACACCCGGGAGAATCCTGCGTCGGCTCCCTGTTGTCCTGGCAACGTCCAGCCCAGCGCTGTGTTGCCCGGGCAATGAGGCACGCCCTCTTGACACGGGCCTTGCTCTCTTTGTCTCCAGCGGGTGCAGGTGCGGGAAGCCTCGCACCCGTGCTAGAGCCGCCGGGGGGGGCGCGCAGCGACAGGACGGCAGCCCTGCTCCGGAACCCCCTGGTGGGAGGCTATCCCTCTCCTGGCTGTATGGCCAGGAGAGGTGTGCTCTCCCGCCACAGGGGGTCACCTTCCTCCCATGGGGCTTTGCAGGATGGGAGGAAGTGACAAGCAGCAGGGGGGGGAGAAGTGACACTTCTCATCCTGTGCAGCCCAACTTCAAAGGCTGCTACAGGATGAGAAGGGGGTGGGTGAGGGGACACAGGCACCAGGAGGGGGTGGGGGTTTCTGGGAGTTCAGGCACACTGTGACATCTGCAATCACATGTTTGCTGTCAGCTCAACCCCCCAGCACTTACTGTGCTGTGGAGGGGGAGGCACTGGCAGGCTAAAACTCTTTGTTATTCGTGGCTAGGCTGATCCAGTTGCTGCTCCGGAGTCTGCAGTATATCATGACTTGAAAGTCGGGATCTTGATCCAGTCTGGCCATGCTGTGTGACTTCAGTGAATAGAATGCAGCTGTCCCCTGAAAATGTGTCGCAGGAGTGCCAAATGAACTACACTTCTGTAATCCACAGGAGAGGTACAGTCCAAAAATCTTGGGCTGACTTCCCTTTTAATCTATGTATGTCAGGCTTAGAGTGTAACTAAACCCCGAAGCCCGCATTCACTCTATCTGGTCTACGCAGACCCTGCATTGACTATATCCGCTCTCCCTGTACCCAGAATTCACTCTGTCTGGTCTCCCGCAATAAAACAGAACATGGCAGTGCAAGTATTTAAGGCCATAAAAAAAGCTAAATGCCTTTTATCATCAGCAGTTAGAGCAGTCTTGTGACTTCAGCAGAGCTCTGTTAAACTTTGAGTATTTTTCTGTCTGCTCTAGGATGGTGTGAATCTTCTGGCCCTCTATGTGAACAGTGCTGATTGGCCCTGTGCTGATCACATGCACCCCCCCAAACCAACACCCAAAAAGTATAGCAATGCACAGCAAACTGAGCATGTGCATGTGATTACGGATTCAGTCTGTATCAGTTGGTCATTTCAACAAGAGGAGGGGCAGAGAAGACAGGATCAAACAGCCTTCTTACACAAGAGACAGAGTATTAAACCCCTTAGGTTACACAGCGAGTATAACAAGGATGATTTACTGCATATTTACACTGCTTTGACTGTTGTGGGTTTAGTAAGACTTTAAGTAATATTGCTTGCTTTCTTATCACACATGGTCAAGCAGTTTTGAGAATACAGCTTCCAATGTGGATTCTAGTGTAGTGGCCAGGCAGTTATTAGCTCAATATGTGTAGGCCTGTACACATCCATACCTTTCGGAGACCAAGTTCTGCTCTCTAGCACAGCATGGGATGATAATTGGCAGCAGGTCAGTATTTTTAGAGCCTGAGGAGGATGCCAAGCAGTGGGGCTTTCATGCTGCGAATGCATGAAGGCAAGAAACTTTGGCCTTTTGACTAAATTTACAATGACCATCCAACACAGGATATGTGCCCCCAAAATACACTAGCAGAGGGGTGGGAGAGCCTATCTCTGAGGAGCTTCTCGGCTATTAGTGTTTGGGAAGTGTTCTGAGTTGTGTGTCTTTGAATATCCAATGGTTAAGGCCTTTCCCTTGTGTCAACCTTTGAAAAGGTTGCAGCTAAGGGCACAGTGGCTGTTAACACCACAACCCCTTACAATATCCGACATAAAGATTGGACTTTGTTCATTTTCATGAGTGCACCCTCTTCTATTTGGACGTTCATGAGCCAGAATTTCACGTTCGACTTTCTTGGACATCCATGGCTCCCTAGGGTCATACACTATCGAAACTTAGCTGGAGTTAGTCTGCACCTTGTACTTCAAGTCTGAGAGAATGTAAGGCTTGGTTTTAACAGTGTGTGTGTTTGTAGTAAACTCTTAAGTTTACAAAGCCTCGAATTATACTGACATGTGGAGCTCTTTTGCTTGTGTTTTTTTCAAGTCACCTGGCACTCAGAAAGGGAGTGGCTGCACTCCAGAGCCCCCAGGAGGCAATGGATGGAGGAGGAGGAGGAAGAGGTGGAGTCGTTGGAGGAGGGCCAACTCCCCTCCAGTTCCCCTGAGCCCCAGGACCCAGGTATGTCCCCATTTGTGTGAATGTGATCAACTTTACAATATTTGCTTTTACACAGTGTCTATGTGTGGGGGTGTCACATGAGATGTGTTGGGTAAAGGGTGGTAAGCCTGGCACCAGACTTTTTTTTTTTGTGATTCCCAATCTGCTCCAAGCTACAAATGCCACCTTGCAGTGTGCATGTGTTAACACTCGAGGGGGCATTTGTGTTTTGGCATAGGGGAGGAGAATATTGTATGGACTAAGCCCTTTTACAGCTAGACTGTCAAAGACTTAGACCTTGTGACGTCTTCCTGTGAAGCTTCAGGTCTGCTGCCGACCTGTGACCTTTGCTTTGGGATGATGTAAGTCACTCTATTGTAGACCCCAGAAAGGAAAGTGGGAATGGCTGCAAGGGCTGACCAATGAGTGTTTCCACTATTACTGTAGTGTAAGCGTAGCTAAGCTGTGTGTGAGCCAATTCCTCTTGTCAAGAGCAAGCCTCTCCAACATTGGAATGCTGGCACCACACCACTGGCAAGGAAGACCTTTGGGTTACGTCCTAAGGTGATCTGAAACATCGTCAATGGACAGCCAAAGAGTATGTTAGCATTGTAGGATATGAGCAGCTTGCTGGAGTGTGGGTGCCAACAAGTGGCCAAATGAATTTGGCCTTAAGCTCTTCTGGCCATCTAGTTTAGTAACCCAAACCGAAAGAGGACTTTGCTATGTTGGGTAGGGCTAGGGCTTACTACCTGGGGCCTGTACTATGTGACTGTTTAACATCCATGTGTTTGTCAAATGTCAGGACTCGCAACTTTTTCTTGTGTCTTTTTTTTGTTACTCTTCATGTAGTTGTACTTCCCAATGCCCCACCTGCTATGGGGGAGCTACAGCCCCCTCTGGATGCAGAGGCCGACATCCCAGAAGGTCAGTTTCTGAACTGTTTACACATATGCACATGTAACGTATGTAGAAGGCTTCAGCTCCCCCTTGTCTAAATTGTTTGGCCTCATCCTGTGTATAGGGATGCCCCCCCCCCCACAAAGAAATAAAACATTCACACTAAACAACACATCAGGCAGATAGGGGCTTAATATTCACACTTAGACCTGACAGCTGAGTTGTTCTACATAGGCATACATTAAAGTGTTTTTCTAATTAAGAAAGGGCAATAAACAAAGAATATGACACAATAGTCAAGCACTAACCTGACACTCCAGTGATCCAAAACCTGCTTCCCAAGTAACTAGTGTTTGTTCCACTCTGGTCTCTCCACTATCTTAAAGAATCACTACAAATAGATGCAGCTGACACATCCAGCTTCCTGGGAGATGGACTGCCTCCCTTCAAGGACACACCTGGTTAATCACACTGCCAGCTCTATAGGAATCTCTGGACCTGTGTGGAGGGAGTTGGGCCACTAGGCTCCAATAGGCTCACAGAATTTGCTCAGCTCTGTGCTCTGGCTGAGGAGCATGTGTGTAGGGCCCCACCCCTCCCCTCTCTGCAGCTAATAGAAATCTAGGATAGATGTCTTTGGGAACTCTGTGGAGGAGATAGGTGTGGCAAAGTCATCTGTTGCCTTTACTGATGAGATTGCCCTTTTTGCTGTTGCCCACAGATATATTTGTAGTCAGTGAGCAAACACTCTAATCTAGGCCTAAGGATTCCAAACTCACTCCCTGGCCCATGAAATCCTCCCAGGCAAGAGATGTAAGCTCTGTGTTCCAATTATAAGTTGACAACAGCATAGAGTGCTTTCAGGATAATGGACAAAGTTAGACAAGTATTGCATGCTGTTGTTTGTTTGGAAGCAAGTGTCTCCTTTTTTAATTGCAGCAAATACATTTTTTCTGACTTTTTCTACAGTGTTCAACCACCCAGCCATAAGAGCCTCATGGGCTGGGTGTGTGAGCGCATTGGGACGCTGGAGCAGGCATTGGAGGTGGGGCCAGCCGAGAACCAGCCAGACATTGTGGCCTATTTTCGGCGGCAATTTTTAAATGTTTTTGTAAATAAATGTTATTTATATTTGACAGTGGACTGTGTTGTGGCCTTCTTTAGCCTTTGCAGGTAGGCAATCTTTTTCATTGCAGTTGGAGCTGATCTGCATGTCCCTAAAGCATTGCAGTACACGGCTAGCTCCAGCTGCAGTGGCCAATCTTGCTTACCTTGAATTTTTGTTAATGTCCAAACAAAGTCTGGCAAGTCCAGCTTTAGGATTGCATGTTTCAAAGAGGTAAACCAGCTCCTTCAATCCTAAACTCGGATATATAAAGATTGAAGTTGACTGCTTGCTGTCTGCAGCTACTCCCAATCTTAGTTTGCTGCCGTTTGTGAAATGCCGCAAGAGTTTACACAGAACACTCCATTCACGTTACATTGTTTACATTTGGAGTAGCTCTTCATTCCATCCAGGGACTTCAAGGTAGCTTGGTGGAGTGTAGTTGTGAAGACTGGCAAAAGGGGAGGTGCAACCAAGTAGATAATGTGTGGGTGGATCCTGTGGGCAACTCTGTCAAGATGTTACTCCTCACCTCATTTCTAATTGGGATTGGCATTACACAGAAGCCACATGACTTGAAAGCTGCTCTGGGAAGGACTATCAGTTATGGATGAGACCACTTACATGCAATGTCCCGCAGCAAAGAAGAGGGACAAATTGACTTTCTGCTCAACACACACCACTTGGATCCAATTTGTTGCTAATTCACATATCAGTGTTTTGTCAACAGGAGGTGGGAAGGGAATGAAGTGAGGAACAAGTGTCAACTGGGCACATAAATTCCATAGGCACACACATCTAGAATCAGGCAGCGTAAGATCCTATGCTCCCAAACCAATCTCGAGGCAAGATGTAACACGGTGTGTAAAGCAAACTTAGTCTGGGTCTAGTAAGTCAAGCAGAATGATCCAAACAACAAAAGTCCTTTTTCTTATTCTCACAACTTTTAGGTGTCTCTAGCTTTCCTTGGCAGGCTTAATGTTTGTAAGTCGTGGCCTGGTTTTGCACGTGGTGGCCTGGCTATTGACACACTTCTTCTATAGTGTGTGTGTCAATGTAGTAGCCCAGGGAACGTATTTGGACAGCAGTGTCAGTCTCTGGGGGAGGCAAGTGTTTGATGCAGGAGTCTTCTTTAAAATCAGCATCCCATAAAGAGCAAAGCTAGACAACAATTTGCAAGCAAGCTGCAATAATTTTTTGCCCCATTTTTGTGAAAGTTAGCCTTGCCCACAGAGTCCACTGAGAATCCTTGGCTCAATTGGGTCAGCCAAATTGAGAG